AGACGAGACCGAGACTATCAAAAAATGGTCTTAAGACCGGCCTCGAGACCAAGACCGACTTCGAGTACCACAACACTGACATGTATAGTATATATAGTGTACAGTGTGTACGTACGTACGGACGGACAGAAAGAAAGAACTAACTCCTGGACCAGTGCCTCTGTTTTCTTTTTGTGTCTGTTCTGTCTTATCGGTCATGGCAGAAGGACACCTACACTGAACTAGGTTCTGGTTCTGCTACAGGTTTCTTGCTGGTAAACAAGAACTATTCCTTGCTGATTTCACTGCATGGATGCTCAGTATGTTGGATTGCAGCAGCGTTAACAACACAATCCAAGCTGTCCACTGTTGCTACTGCTACTGTCTAATTATGACAGTGTGAATGCGGTCTTACCAGGCCGGTATGTGACCAGACAGTGTCTGCTCTCAGTGTCCACCTGGATGTCTGTGCAGCCGCCACTCTCTAGAGGCAGAATGTGGGGTCTGTAGGTGGTCTCATTCTCCTGCTCCCAGAAACAAGCACCCTCAAGTGAGCCAGCAATCAGCCCACCACAGGGGAAAGAGCTGGACGCCACACGCGGGATGTAGCACAACGACGCCACTGGGCACCTAAAACACCAGAGATCCCCGATGTTAGACTGAATACGAGACAGTAAGTTGTGTCCTAATGTGCAGATGCCAATTTCTACTGAACCATCAAAAATACCGCTCACTGCAGAACGAGTTGTAATGCTTGTCAAGTGTTTTTAGTGAGATTTTACCTGGAGCGAAGAGGTTCCAGCTCATGAATGTGCGAGCTGGTGTCCCTGGTGTCATAAACTAGCACAGAGCCATTGCTCAGACCAGCGTAGATGTAGTTGCTGTTGTCCAGAGACCAGCAGCAGCTCCACACAGGTTTATCCGTCTTATAGGTCTGAACCACCGTGTTGGTAAGCAAGCTGCAAAGCAAGTACTTATGAACAAACACAAGAGAAGGCATATTTCTGAAAATTTTGGCCCATATAGGAAGCCTGCAGCAGAGTTTCAGCTCTGTCTGGTTTCCCCAACACTCTGTGCCTTATGCTTCAACTAAAGCCCCAGAATTGTTCACTAATTGCATAATAGAGTGCTTGTTCTACCACATAGTGTTCTGCTGAACAAGTTACAAAAAGGTGATTGCATGCAATTGTGATTTTGGACTGTCAGTTTTAAATCTGTGTCATGTTTTCTCATCTGGAAAGGTGAATTTGACGTCATCCGTTTAACTCTTCACAGACCAAAACAAAACACCCTGAAGTAACCATGGTAATACCAGGAGATTTCAGTCACCGCTCTTCCTCTAGGATACTTTTTCATTTCAGTAGATTAACAACACATTCTGAAATCATCCAATTCAGCTTCAGTGTTTTGTATAGCATCTTTAATCAAAATCCCTTTTAGGCCACAGTCAATCATTTGTTAATCCCGATAAATCTGCTAGAGAGGTTACCACTGCTTACTTGCACAGCACCTTAGAGACCGCCCTCCTTGTTCTTACCTGGTCAGTTTAACGGTGTTGTCCAGTGCAGCAGATAGCAGCAGGCTGTTGTTCTCTCTGCTGAACGACAGACCTCTTATCTGTTTGCTGTGGATAGGAACGTACTGACTGGCCTTCATGTTCACCAAGCTCACCTTCTTCACCCCACAACCTGAACAGATACACCAGAAAAATACCTTCACTTCCATGTCACTCCTCAGCTCTAGTCTAATGCTTTGAATGTTGACTCCGGGGACAAACTTAAAACAAAAAACAAGACATACAGCCCCGACGATTAACATGAAACCCATAAAAGGTGTAGACCAAACGCCTGACAAACACGGTTGTAAGGTGAAGATTCCTTGTATTTGTTTCATCTTCAACATTCCTTTGGTTATGTGGTGGTTTTCTGCTCTTTGGTGGCTGTTGAAATTAATTTTTCTTTGTGAAATAACATGGTATAATATCAAAGTTTAATCATGGTGGGGGGGGGTTTGTGTGTGTGTTTTTGCAGTCCAACTGCATCTTTGTGGAACATGCAGCAAATATAATATGCTAGTGTGGCACTATGAAAGTGAGTCACGAAACTAGTAGACCCCCCAATTTTGTTTTTGTGATGATCAGTCTCAGCCAGAAACTAGCATTAGAATTTATTAGATGTAACAATGTTTGTATTTCACCATCGGAGGGCGCTGTGTGCGGCAGCGGGTGACACTCTGGCGGGCGGAAGAAGCTCGTCAGTGCTTAGAGGACAGCTTGTTGCAGCAGATGCTCGGAGCAGATTTGTAACCGCTGTATTTTCTTGTTGCAGTTTAAACTAAATAAATGTGCTACCAGAGGAGTGACCCGGCCCATCATTCTCTTCAGTGTAACACTGTACCACATATGCGATGGAATTATTAGGTTGTCCTGTTGCTCAAAATCAGCATTGCTGAAGGATATTTGTGATCTAGTTTATCATTATATTTTTTTAATCTTCCAAAATAATTGACCAGTCATGTTTTCTGTCTTTATCTATGAGTCACAGTTGTATTGTGCACATTTTGAACTTGCAAAAGCAAGTGAGAAATTACCAATAGTACATATGTGAACTGTTTTCATCATGTCTGTCAGGCTGTTTATGAATATTTGTATCACATGCCTGAAAGGTTACCGCTTTACTAAGAAACTGTGTCCATCTATGGCCACAGCACATAGTTATTGTTTTGGACTCAGTTTGACACATTCATCTTTAATTTAACCATTAATCATACGATGTAATGATGACTAACGCCTTCATACAGATGAACATGTTTTAGTTCCAGATAGTCAAGCTGAGCAAGATGAGGTTTGACTGTGGGAAAGTTTACTTTGCTCAACATTTGCAGCATTCATAAGTTCATTTTCTGTGTATGAGGTGAGAATTGTCATCTACCAGTCTGTTTTTTTTTTCAGCTGTAGTATTCAGCTGTTCATGATGTCGACCACAGGCATTTATCCATCTTTTACATCTCCCACTGACAACGTTTCACCATTTCTTCAGATTATTTTCCAACAAATCTCTCTGACTGCAGCGAATTCATAAAGGTAAACTGAGATTCACTTTCTCCAGGTAAGGACAAATTGATTGGTCATTTGGAATGACTGACAGATGGCATCATGATAAATGTCTGAGAGCTGTCACAATTATTGGCTTCATACAGGAACTGCAGCAGATTAAAACAAATAATCTAATTAATCTGTTTAGGACGACAAAGATCCTAGAGAAGTAAAATGCTAGAAGAAGCAGACACAGTAAAACAAGCTCTGTAAAATTAACTCCTGATACAAGATGGAAATAAGACTGCAGGTTACCAGGCACTAGAGTAGAGTGAGGGGAGGGCTGTGAGGCCAGCAGGCAGCACAGAGGTTCACAGTAGGACAGAACTCTGCAGCCGCCTGTCTGAGACACCAGCACCGCCTTAGAGAAGCTGTACTGAGCTGCCCTTGAGCCGTCTGCCCTCTGAGACATGCTGAACATGGAGGAGGAGGAAAAGGAGGAGGAAGAGGGTGGAGCCGAACTTCTTCCAGTTTGGGCCATCAAGGCCTTCAGCTCCTACAAAAACATGCAGACAGAGGCAGAGTTGAGTACATAGTTCAAAACCTGATCAGGGTTAGGTTTTTACCAGACACGCAGCTTAAAAACTGGGCTACTGCTTCTTTATACAATCAAAAAAGTTTGACAAACGGGTTTCTAAGCTAAAACCTAAATTGGGTTTCTCTTTTAGAAACAAGAGTTTCTCATACCTTGTTAAAAGGCTCCTTGTTGGTACTCATCTACTCATACATTTTGTATTTTTACTCGTCATATTGATTATTTCACTTTTATTGATTACTCTGTTTTTCATTTGTTATTTGCTCATTTATTGTTTGTTTTGTCTTATGTTTCCAGATAGTCTAGCTGAGCAAGATGAGGTTTGACTGTGGGAAAGTTTACTTTGCTCAACATTTGCAGCATTCATAAGTTCATTTCCTGTGTACGAGGTGAGAATTGTCATCTACCAGTCTGTTTTGTTTTTTTTCTTCGCAAAGCTGCAAAACCACATGGATGCCTCTTTACACAGACAGGTGTGTGTAAAGCAGAATCAGAGAATGCTCTGACCTATGAACTTTTAACTTCTTTTCTGTAATATAGACTGCAACCTGCCATCACCATCTACTATAACTGAAGAATTTTGAATGAATATGAGTTTTAACATTTAATTTCCCTTTGGGATTAATGAAGTACTTTTGAATGTCTCTCCTTGCTGCAAGAAAAACTCGTTGAAACAAACATTGTAATCCATCACTGATTCTGTATCGATTAGTTCCTTATACCGTATTTTCCAGATTATAAGGCGCACCTAAAAGCCTTACATTTTCTCAAAAATCAGTAGTGCGCCTTATAATCCAGTGCGCCTTATGTGTGCACTCAATTCCAAAATCTGTCCCTGACACAGAGACATAAAGTGTACAGTACGTACGCTGGCAGCGATAAACCAATCAGAGGACATTACATAATACGTAAAGTACGTACGCTAGCAGCAATAAACCAATCAGAAAATTGTTGTCCTTGTTCTGCAGCATATGCCTCCGGTAAAAACCAGATAGGTTTTGCCACGCATCATCGTCCCTGTTCATCTCCATGCGTGACCATCTCACTGCTACTGTGAAAAAGGAAGTGAAGCAAACTAATTCGGAGTTTGCAGTCATTCCGGGAGGATTAACAAAAGAACTCCAACCGCTGGACATTGGTGTAAACAGGGCGTTCAAAAAGAACTTGCGAGCGGCGTGGGAATGATGGATGACAAACTGCGAACACACATTTACTAAGACGGGGAGGCAGCGCCGGGCGAGTTACACCACCATGTGTGAATGGATTGTGGATGCCTGGGCTAATGCATCTGCCTTAACTGTTGTCCAAGCTTTCTCAAAAGTCGGCATCGTTGCTGAACAGCCACCTGGCAACGAGGCTGACTTCGACAATGATGAGAGGGAACCTGGCATGTTTGATGGCAAATTGACCAGTTGTTCAATTCAGACATAGAAGAGGAGGACTTTGATGGATTTGTGGAAGAAGAATAAAAAGTAACGTGAGTGTATTGTTACATAGTCGAATAAAGTTCAACTAAACTTACTGTTTTGTTTCTGTTACCTTTTTTTTTTTGTTGTTGACTGTATGTTTTAGCATGCGTCTTATAATCTGGTGCGCCTTATGTATGGGTTAAATACAGAAATGGACGCCATAATTGAGAGTGCGTCTTACAGTCCGGTGCGCCTTATAGTCCAGAAAATACGGTACTAACTTTTCGAACACCTGATTCCTTTGATCATTCTCAGTCTGATGAATAATTGAGTCAGAAATGAACTGGGCCAAAAGGCAGTGAAACACTCTGTTCTCATCAGCGGGAATAATAAAATGATCATCTCTTAAAACTTTGAGGCAATTCAAGACTATGTTAAAGAACAGAGTCATCAGCTCACTGGGCTCCTACAACAGCCGGATGTGTAATAACACCATGTGATGTCTCTTGTTTATGCGTTTGTGGATTAGGTCTTGTACATTTTATGCTGCTGGCTTGCTCTGGTCCATCTACAAAGAGAGGTTTTAATCAAAATGTTTTTTTCTGATTGATTAAAGGATACATGTTGATGCATTTTCAATTAACTGCACAATAACTGACTGAAGTGATTAACAGCTAATGGCAGTACTACCTGCAGCTCTTGCTGTGCCTGTCCAAATTTGCTGGTGACAACCTGAAGCTTGAGTTTGTATTCTGCTGACTCCAGTTCTGCTTTTCTCCTCAGAGAATGCTCCTGCTCCAAACTCCTGAATACAAACACACACCATAGCTTTATAGAAACATAGCACAACATGGAGGGAGACAAATCTATGAGAGGCCCCATGGGCCAAAACTTACAAACTCTCTTACACATGCTATATGTGTAAGGATTTGATAGTACGAGTGAGAGAGTTTGATAGTATATGTGAGAGGGTTTGTAAGTTTTGACCCGTGGGGCCTCTCATAGATGCATATTTGTAAATTTATTGCAAATCCTATGCAAAAATTATCAAAAACATTTGGTTTACATGACTTCTAACTTTTACACTACCTCACCTTTCCTTGATGTGAAGTGATTTATATGGCAAGAAACAAAAATGGAGCCAATTAATTATTTGAAGAATAAAAATATTTTGTGTCCAATTTGTTATTTTCTCTCTTTAGTTCTTGATTTTCTCATCTGTTGTCTTCTATACATAGATTTTGGAAGTAGTTTAATAAAGGAAAAAATATTGAAAATTCCTTGCAAATATTTCTAAAGTAACACCAAAATAATCGAGAAATCTTGGAAACTGACTGCTACGCCAAGTTTGTCCACTGTTATTGCTTTAAGAAAAAAACACTATTTGGAGCAACCTGAAATAAATCATAACTGTGGGATATCCGGTCTATCTGGTCTCCATTTGTGACTTCAGAATGACCAGAAAGAATAAATCAATAAATACATTTATGTAAGAAAATAAACATTTGTTGTATTGCCTGAAATGCAATACCAGCATTCCTTTAGTGATTCTGATCTGACTGAAGCTAAAACTTCCACTTGAGGAGTTTTAGCTAAAACATTTACAGACAAAAATGTGTTTATCTTAAATGCAGAATGTATTTTGATATTTTGTACAGTTTTCCTGCTCTAAATATGTTGTTTTTTCAGCAAATAGCCTTTTTTGAGTCTGTATTGCTGGTTTAACAATCAATCAAATATTAGTTGTTGATTAAAGTAGTTGACGATTATTTCAATAGCTGATTCATCACGATTAATCGTTTCAGCACTAATATCTACCTCTTCAGGCTCTCCTGCTCAGAGTTGTCCAGGGCTCTCAGCTTTGGAGCGTACAGCAGCACAATGTCTGAATGCTTTGCTTTCTTGTTGCACTGAAAACAAGAAAACATATTAAATACAGGGAAGAGGGGGGATAAAGAATATATTTTCGTCATAGTGGGACTGATATGTTTCTGCTCACCTGTGGACACTTAGCAGCTGAGCCCTGAGCCTTGAGCCAGCGTTTGATGCACGTGTTGCCAAAGAGGTGTCCGCAGCGCAGAGCGGAGAGCCGGTGTTCACCTGCTGTGGTCCACACCTCAAAGCAGATGGAGCACGTTTCGCCTTCGCTGTCGCCACTGCGGCTTGGCTGGGATGAAGACGGGGCTGCAGGGGTCGGCTGGAGGTCAGATGATTACAGTTAGTGGAGGTCTGATGCTGCAGGTAGGTCAAAATTGTTGTGTGGTTATGGACAGTAGACGTTTTGTGAAACATCTGATGCTATAGTTGTATTCCGTAGTGGTGGCATTTGTTCAGACTCTGGTGAATCTTAACGTCCATTACAGTTCACAACCGTTCTTACCGTTAGTACTTTTTCAGAGGACACAAAAGTGCTCCAAAATTAACTAACATCTCACAGACAGGTAAAATATCCTAATTTCTCACTATACAGCATAAGTAATAGAATAACAGAAGCCTAATGTGATTGCACACCAACATGACTCTTCTACAAGAAATTCTGTGCTTTTGTTTTTTTTCATGTGAAAAAGAAAATTCCTCTCATATGGAGGATTAGGTTTCTGCTGACTCCTCTAATGCTAAGAATCCTTGTGATGTCTGTGCTTTTCTTTAGTTACATCATTACAGACACTGACTTAATAAATGCCTAAAGGATATAATATTTTCTTAATTCATACTTTACAATTTCACATTTCTTATTAAACCCATAAAATTATTTATCTTTTGTTATGATAGACAGACAGACAGACAGACTTTAGAGAGACTAATTGACTAACAGTCATGTTTTTGGACAGTGGGAAGAAGCCAGAGTTCAAGGAGAAAACCCACACATGCTTTTCACACATGCATTTATTTTCCCACAAAGGGGAATAAAATAAAGGCTCCATAAATTGAACAAAGGGGAAAATAAATTGTTTCATTTTATAAGGATTAAATAAAACATGATTCCTGTATGTGAATGACGACCAATACCTACATTCCTTAATGTTCCAAATTTTTAAAAATGAAAAAAAAAAAAAAAAAATCACTAGATCAAAACATTAGACATAAACAGGAGGGCTAAACCACTAAGTACCTGATGGTCCTGGATTTGAGCGTAGCCCCCAGCCTCGTTTGCTGCTGCTGAAACAGCTTCAGTACGACCTACAATATTTTACAAAGACTTAGACGAGGAGGAAGAAACAGTCTTTCAAGGTCATAAAAAGTTATTTAAAACACTGATCAGCAGAAATAATACTATATAATTTAACAAAAACAACCAACATGCTACCAAACACCATCAAGGTGAATTTCTGTCAGTCTTACTGGGCGCTGCTGCTGCTGCTGCTTCTGGTTGAGGCTGCTGGGTGGCAGCATTAGCAGAAGGTAAATGTAGTGAGGCCTCCGCCCCAACAGCTGTGCTTTCTGCCGTTTCCTCCTCAGACTCGGACTCACTGGCCTCAGTGGTGCTGCCGGACTCTGGCTGAGTTGTACTGGCAGCTGGTGCTCGGAGCAGGAAGTCCGGGAATCCTCTGGAAGGTGCTGCCGTCTGGCTGGGGTAATGGACCCTGAGACCCTGTCTGGAGCACAAACACAAGGTCAACCCTGCAATGATGCTTTGGACGAAGCACAACAGCTGGGAGAAGAACAGTGGGAAAGGTCCCCACCTGAGTGACCTCCTCATCGGTACCCCCTGGGTTACTGAAGGCACAGCTGGGACTCCATGTACGGCCCTCTGACTGAAGGCCCAGGTGGCAGGAAGCCTGAAAGAAGCCTGAACCGCCTGCTGAGCTCCAGCACCATCATCTTCATCCTCATCTACCTCAGTGCTGCTTCCAGAGTCTGAGATGACTAGAGGGGCTTCGACATCCTCAGGCTCACCAACAGCTGCAACCGCACCACCTGCAACTGGAGGGACCACAGGCGAGTCTATCTCCATGGCCTCCATCTGCTTAGAGTAGAAAAACAGAAATGATGACAGATCATTTATCTGTATCTAAACTATGTAACAAAGTAATGTATAAGAAGTTGAGCACATACTCAATGCCTGGACTTAGTCCGTATGTTTTCATTACCTAAGTAAATAAATGATGAGTGCAAGATTTCCAAATCAAATAGGTTGAATAGAAAACTTAAGCTGCATGCATAACAAATTTATTGAAAAAGAAAGACTGAAATCCTTTGCTCAGTATTGAGTAGAAAATTTGGGGATCCTCTGCCTCTTCCTTGCCGATCCTCTCCAGTTCCATCAGGTTGGACGGTGAACGTTGGTGGAGCCAGTTTCAGATCTCTCCAGAGATGCTCCGTTAGGTTTAGGTCAGGACTCTGACTGGGCCAGTCAGGAATGGTCTCAGAGTTGTTCTGAAGCCACTCCTGTATTATTCTAGCTGTGTGCTTCGGATCAATGTCTTGTTGGAAGGCGAACCTTCAGCCCAATCGAGGACCTGAGCTCTCTGGAAGAGGTTTTCTTCAGGATCTCTCCGTACTTGGCCGAATCATCTTTCCTTTAGTTGCAATCAGTCGTCCTGTCCCTGCAGCTGAAAAGCATCCCATAGCATGATGCTGTCACCACCATGTTTCACTATTGGGATTGTATTGGGCAGGTGATGAGCAGTGCCTGGTTTCCTCCACACACAGCACTTAGAATTAACACCAAAAAGTTCATCACACCAGAGAATCTTATTTCTCAGTCTGGGAGTCTTTTGTGTGTTTTTTGGAGAACTCTATGAAGGCTTTCAGATGTCTGGCACTGAGGAGAGGCTTCCATCCGACCACTCTGCCGACTGCTGGAGGGCTGAAGTCATAGCTGATTTTGTGGAACTTTCTCCCATCTCCCTACTGCAGTGATCTTTGGGCTCTTCTCCCTTGATTGTTCAGTCTGGCTAGAGGGCCAAGTCTAGAAGAGTTCTGGTCGTCCCAAACTTCTTCCATTTAATGATTATGGAGGCCACTGTGCTCTTAGGAACCTTGAGTGCTGCAGAAATTCTTTAGTGACCTTGGCCAGATCTGTTCCTTGCCACAGTTGTGTCTCTGAGCTCCTTGGGTAGTTCCTTCCACACCATGATTCTCATTTGCTCTGACATGAACTGTGAGGTCTTATATAAACAGCTCTGTGCCTTTCCTAACCAAGTCCAATCAGTTTAATTAAACACAGACTCCAGTGAAGGAGTAGAACCATCTCAAGGAGGAACAGAAAAAAAGTACAGCATGCGAGTTAAATATGAGTGTCACAGCAAAGCCTCTGAATACTTATGAGTCATGACCATGGGATATTTTTTCTCTTTTAATAAATTTGCAAAAAATTTTACATTTCTGTTTTTAAAAAAAAAGATGATTCCAATCTTTTTTTGGGAATCACTGAGAATGAACATGTTCTCACGTTCATTCATGAGAATGAACACTCATGTATGAACTTTTATTGATTTTAGTAAATGGCTACAATGAAACAAAGTGGAAAAAAAATTAAGAGGGTCTGAATACTTTTCGTACCCACTGTAATAAACAATCGCGGATATTTGATGCAAATTTGCTGAGATGTGTTTGTGAACAAACCGAATGAAAATACAAAAAACAGAACTCCTATCATCAGATTGTAAACAAGTTAACAGCAAACAATGATTGACATTGTGTGTAAATTTAATCTTAATTAATTAAATATTTTTTATATACATATATTTTCATTTACCTACATTGAAACCATCAGATCAAACTTAGTATTTTCGTTCTCAGCATGTTAACATTGTAGATACATGGTCTTTGTCAAAATGAAGCATTTCTGGTGACTGGCTCTGATTACATTTTAAACGAAACAAAAGATCGTATTTTTTTTTTTTTTTTTACAAACGAACCAGACGTTTTTAACAAGTTTTATGTCCCGCAAGGTTAGCGCCAAGATGTTAGTTGATCACCTAGTTAAAATAAAGGCTCCATAAATTGAACCATCCGGAAACACAAGCCCCAGAAAAGCGTCTTTTACGTGATGCATTATAAAATATGTATACTGTAACCAAAACTGCACTAAGACCAATACTCTTCATAAAGTCCACGCTGCTGCTGCTGTCGCTGTGCTGGCGGCTAAGCTCTGAACTAAACACCGCGGTCATACCGAGGCCTGCAAACTGCAGAGAGCAGTTGCACATACTGAAACATTGCATTGCATTTTAAACAGCCTCATCTAATTCATATTGTTAAATACTTTCTGTATGTTTTTACCTGATATCCCTAAGCACTTTTGATTAAACTACCTAGGATTTGCTATGATAAAAGTCCTTAATCGAACATTGCCTTAAATGTTGCGACCTTGATAACGTTATACACAGGCAGAATTGACGACAACTCATTGTACTATTAGTGTAGTAGAACTGTTAAAACATTTCTGCTGTTTGTTGGTTTAGGTAATTAGCTAGCATGAACTGTTGTTGCGTAGCTGTAAACAGAAGCAAAACGGTTGGAGACACACAAACACTCACAGTTAACAGCACTTGGTCCACCTCCGGATAATCCCACTATGTAACCACATGGTTAGCAAAGGCTAAGTTTAGAGGATTCCATTTTAGTGGGTTTGTAAATTATTTGCGGTTCATACAACAGTAAACATTCAGGTCAGGAGTCGAATCTCCCGGCTCACGCGCGTTCAGCCCCGCCTCTAGAGCGGTATGAGAGAATTCTTCTTCCTCTTTTCAGGGTTATTTGTCGGTTGCCAAAAAAACGCTAGGTGCGCATTACCGCCATCTATTGGTATGGATGGTGGACTGAAACGACCTAAAAAACATCTCATAAGTGTATGTGTTTTCAAATAAACGAGTCAATGTGAGAATTTATCAAAGATTTGACAACTATCAAATATTGAATTCCTATATAATAATTCGATAAGATTTAATTTATGTTAATTTAAGAAATATTGAACTCTTTAATCTTTATATTTCAGACAATATAGCAAACATTTGTATAGTTTCATCTTCACAATGGAAATGGAATCTCTATGAAAATCTGGTAGAAAACAATTTAACAAAGCACACCTTACAACAAATTGGTACAATTTTAACTTAGAAATGGAAAAGGATAATCTATTAAGACAAACAAAATAATGTGAAAAAGGGGACGAAAAGAGAATATCACAAGAGAACTTCCCATTTATTAATTTAAATCTTCATGAATGGAAGATTTTTAAGTCAGTCAGAATCTCCAAAAATATTTAAATGCCACAATGATGAGAGAAAGTATGTTAGATTTATTTATTAGTATCTTCGAAATCATAAATTTACATACATTTGCTCACCGTTTGGCAGTATTGCCATTGAACTGTATGACCTTTTAGGTGTTCTTCCTCAAGCTTCTCACTACATCTTGATGAAATAATGACTCATTTCTATAGACGGAATTGCTGGAACTGAGTCAGGTTTATAGGCTACCTCACTCACACCATTTCAGATCTTCCCACAAATTCTTTACACACACTCTTGCAGCTACAGGCCCACATGTCAGTTTTGTCTGCATAGGACAAAACCGTTGAAATGGTCACATCGAAACATTGACTTTGTTGTACTAAAGCCATTTTGTAACCTCTGCATGCATTGTCCATATGGACGACCAATATGAACCCAAACTTTAACTTCCTGGCTGATGTCTTTATATATTGCTTTAATATTTCCACACAATCTTCTTTCCTTATGATGCTATTGTGTGAAGTTCACCAGATGTTCCTATAGCAAAACAGACCAACATCATGATACTGCCACACCCATACTTCCCAGCTGGAATAGTCTTCCCCCTTTTTTTTTTCAATGCAACGATTGTCATTATGGCCAAACGAGAAAGCGTACAGGCCAACCCAAATGTTCAGTTAACCCATCAGATGTTTTCAGCGCTATGACATAGTCTGGGATTCCTCTACTTGCTTTAATAGACTGTAATCAATATGTAAACTTTTGATTTGTAAGAGATTAATAAATAAATGCCTTTATTTATTAAAGAACCCAGGACCAGCTTTTATTATTTTACATCTTTTTAAATATTTGTTAAAACTGTCACTATGTCATGATAGTATCCTAATGCACAAATATGTGAAAAGACTGAGCTTCTCCACCTCCTGCCTGAGATACTATTGCCTGAAGAAAAACAATACTCCCTCTGTGATGCAAACAGAGTAGCATCACAGCCATCCTTTATTCAGAGTGGAGGTTCAGGTTTTATCAAGCAACACGGTTCAGCTGTGTTGAGCCTCCTTTGCATTTATATAGCTTTCCAGATTTCACTGACTGTCTAATGTTGAGTTAAGTGATATTCACAAAATGTTCTTGAAGTTTCTGTGACATCCAAGTAAAGAGGCAATCAGCCCTCCAGTAGGCTGAATCCATCGCTGAGCAGAAAGTGAGGTCGGAGCAGCGACAGGATGGGGCCACGCGGGGCCCCACCCAGGCAGTATGCTTCATCCACGCTGACTCCCAGAGACCGAAGGGATTTTAGGGCACAGCAGCAGTTGTCTTTGCCACCATGTGATGTTACGAGAGTGAAGCAAAGAGGGCTGTCAAACACACCAAACTTCTGCTTCATCTGGCCTAAATGAGCTAAAAAGTTCTGCAGAGACAAAAGAAGAAAAATAAATCATTTTCAACTGAAAATGATTTATTTTCAGTTGAAAATAAATCATTTTATTTGATAAATAAAATGATTTATAGACCCATCTACCTACTGGTAGATAGACCTACTGAAGATAACATACAGTGCCTACTCACACCCCCTTGTGGTTGTAATGTGAAAAAAATATGAAAGCACATATTCAATTGGGGTTTTATAAGACTAACCAAAGAAAATCTAAGTTCTGTGAAGGCCTCAGAGGTTTGTCAGGCAAATTTATATATATATATATATATATATATATATATATATATATATACACACACACACACACTTGTGGTAGTGATACAGGAAAATATGAAAAAGTTGAGTGAGTTTGAAACTTCATGCAAGGCTCTGAAAAAGACACTTGTTAATGTTTGTACCTGAGCAGATTTTTTGCTTGCTTCTGTTGAACCCATGTTGAGTTGGAAGATGGCTTTCTCACAGAATAAAACTCTGAGCTGTTCTGATGGACAGGAAACCCAGTTCGTATCCAGCAGTGCTGAGGGAACACCTGGACCAATCAAAAGCACAATAACAGCACGTTAATCCAAAACTAAATGATAGACCAGTCTCCAGGTTACACTGATAAATGGAAGCTTTAATGGTTAATGCTACAACAGATGCTACAGTTCGGAAATGTCCATCACTTATTGGTAGTGTACTCTGGGTTTTTAATATGGCTTCTAGAAATGACTGACAGAAGATGCCATACAAGAAAAGACTTCCTGACCCTGCTGTGTTGCTTGCAATGCTTCGTTTCCATCTGTTGTAAGGAAGAGCTGAACATTATTTTGCATGAGACTCTCGATGTAGTCCTCCTCTGTTGAAAAGCAGAACCTGCCGACTTCTAGACCTACAACAGAGCAACAACAAGGCTTTGGAAAGAGAAGTCAACGGAGTGTTGCAGTGGAGATGTAGAAAGAGTAAGGCTGAGGTGAGACTACCGTGATGTCTGGTGCTGTTAATGATGCTGGAATTCTGCTGTTGCTGCCAGCTTTCCGTAGTGATCAAGATGACGTCAAACAGCTGATGTTCAGCTGGATTTTTCTCCAGCAGACGCTCATTCACTCTCTGCAGAACCTGAGGAAAGCTATACATCGTCAACTCCCACCAAAGCCCGACTACGATCTTCTTACTGTCAAGGAAACCAGTCGGTTTTCTTTTTAAAAACAAACACAGCTTGTTTTGTTTTTGCTTTTTTGTCACAAACTGATGCTTGAAGAAGCAAGCAGCCCCAAACCCTGTCACTGCAGTCACCATGCATGATGTTCAGTTTCTGAAATGCTGTTTTAATTTCAGGTCGGATGTAACAGAACCCACAAGGTGGTCCACTTTCTGTGGATCTACTTTCTGTCTCGTCAGTCCACAGAATATCTTCCAAAAAGTCCTGGCGGTTCACCAATACGTTTCTGATAAATGTGAGTTCTGTAAAACATGGCTCAGTAGTGTATTTTTTATGTTTTTGAGATTTCTCCCTATTTGTCTCAAATAATGACATACACTTGACAATCCAACCTGACAGAACCCAAGAGTGCAGAGAAGAGTGATAGAAAATACTCCTACAAAGGTGAGCAAGAAAAGTTAAGGCTGTGATAGCTGGGAGGAAAACATTTTTAACAAGAAAGAAGATGTTTTCACTTTGTCTCTCCAAGCTTTTTGTGAAGTATTTTAGAAGAGAATTTATATGTTTTCATTAAAAAACACAAAACAAAAATCACTGCAACATCTAGCAAAGATGGTCAGAAAGAGCATAAAATTGTTGGGTATTTTTTTCCTTAAATCCATATTTCACACTTAAATAGGTCAGTAGGCTAGTGTATTGGAGGCTGAAACAATTAAACTTAAATTGTTTTAAAGTTAATTATCAATGTTCATGACTTCTCACCTGCACCAATGGAAGAGCCACACCCAACCTGTAAATACTGCTGCCATCTTCAGTTTCTGGCTCAAAAACTGCAGCAAAAGTCACAGCAACAACCACCGCCTGGTCCACATCTTTCTGCAAGGGACAAGAAGAAGAACCCAGACTGAAAATATGAGATGAATCTGCTCACCTCTTAACGAAGGCTGTTTTATTTCTGGGATGTGAAGAGACACAATATTAACTAAAAACCCAGAAAGACAGCATTATGTAGACGTTACAAATTGATCTGCTTGTTATCAAGTGAAACTGGTATTGCTTATATACCCACACAAAGCATGATTTAGAAAGAACTTGGTGATAAACATAAAAAACATTGTCGGTAAATACAGCATTAAGAAATTTCCTTTACTTGGTCAGCAGGTTTATACACATCTCAGGTAAAGTCTAGGCCCACTGCTTCTTAGAAAACATTTCTAAATCTTTAAGTTTCCTGGCAGCTGTTTAGAAACTCAAAAAGTCACCTCTCTCTAAAAGATATTTATGAAACAGAAATCTAAAGAGTAGATAGGTCACTCTGTGGCATCAGTACCATATTCTATAGCCATGATTTTCTTTTCCTTTATCCTGCAGGAGTATCTTGAGTTGAATAACTGTGAACTATGAACCATCTCGGTGGTTCTGGTGTAAGATTTTATGCCTCATGATTTTATGCAGATTTAAGTCATCTTGTACCCTCAATAGAAAACAGGCCCAAAGCCTAATATGAGGATGGTGGTCTTTGGGTCATTCTCTGTGTATTTCTTCATCACAGCGAGTCAAGTCAAAGTGAGAGAGCTCAATTTAAAACTTATCTGACCACAAAACCTTTCAGAGTCAGTTAGATGTTACCTGGGGATATACATTTTAGCACAACCACATATCTGGGAATTTAGTTATTCGTTTTATTTTGACACAGCACAGAGATTCAATGGACCTTAAATCATTAAAAAAAAACCACGCAATATGAGCATAAAAAAAGTTTGATTTTGTTTTTAATTGTGAAATATGATACAAACATGTAAAATTACACATTTTTATAACAGCACCCATTGTCTGAACACACTTATGTTTGCAAGACTCCGGGCCAGGATTTGAACCTTCTTGCTCCAAGGCAATAGTAGCACCAATTGCAAAACTGTGCAACCTACCCGTCACCTCCCCAATATCTAGGTTAGAGACTTAGAGTTAGTCCAGGTATTTGAACAGAGACACCTTTTTTTCAATTTTGTAGGGTTCTGTAGATCCTTATGGTATATTACCATAGTGAAAATTAAAACAATTTTGATGCAGTTAAAGTGCAGCTTTCTCAATCTTCATACAAACTATTTCTAACACCAATGCTCCTAAGAATGGTTGCCAAGGGCATCATGGAGGAGCACTGTTTTCACGAAGGGGTGATAGGGGAGTGTCCGAAAGTTTAGGAGCTTCTTAAAGAGACAGAGACCAATCTCAAGGTGTCAAATTATGAAATCAAATTTCTTTAAGGTTATTTATACAGAATTTTTAAAACAACTAAAGGTAATATAGTTACTTGACTGTGCTATAAAATATCACTGTGTGCCTGGAAAATACATAATACTCCTTCCTTTAAACAATCACCTAAGTCAGTGGTTCTTAACCTTTTTTGAGGTACCGAACCCCCTAGTTTCATACGCGCATTCACCGAACCCTTCTTATTCCTTCCTCCCCCCCACCCCCTCCGCCAACACACAAATACTTTGCGGTATTCTGATTTAGTAATGTTATTAGCTGCGTTACCACCCCCACGTCACTAGAGGCAGTAGCAACCCCGAAAAGTTGCGACTAAGGAGCACATTTAGAAGCTTTGATGTCTATGTTTAGAAGTACACCGAAAGCTACAGAATTTGGTAAAAACTGTGAGCTTTGCTGAAGTAATTAAAGACAAGTTCAAATCCATGCTGAGAGTGGAACTCCTTCAATCAGTGCTCCTCCGCAGCTCTGATTGCCTCAGCAATGTAACGTGATCCTCTGCAGCAACTGATGGCAAAGCGGGGCGTCATCACGACTTTACACAGGTGTCTACCTCCGCGGCAGAGGCTCCGCGGAACCCCTGAGACCGACTAATCGAATCCCTGGGGTTCGATCGAACCCAGGTTAAGAACCACTGACCTAAGTTGTTCCTTTTTTTTCCTCCTTTACCCTTCTTTCTCCGAGTTGTTGAGTTTCTCTTGTAATTCCTGTTGTAGAAGGCTAATCGTGACACATGCAAATACCCATGTGGGCCTAACTATAATTCTATATTGACACATAGAAACATAATTATATGAAGTAGACCTTAATTTACGGCTGCCGAGCAGTCAACAACAATGTACAACTTCCGCCTTTTTTCGGTACAACTCGGCATATTCAGTATTACTATAAATGTGACTTAGAAGAAAGTGCTGAAAAGGAGAAACAAAAAGACAAACCCCGAAACAATGATTAGAGCGATTTACCATGACTCTAGTAGGGATATGTGTTCTTCTGAGGGTAAAGTAAACGTACCTGCTTCACGTCGGTGTTCGTGACCGTAGAGACCATTCTAACACCTGTAGGACCTTACGGTAGTTGCTGTTTTCCTCTTAATTCCTCTCGCACCGCAAAAACCTTATTTTCGTTTGCTTTAAGAACAGCAAGCAGCAAGTTTGCTTTAAGGAGCGCATGACTGCGTCACTTCCTGGTCAAGCAATTGCCTCTTGCCCCGCCCATATCAGTGATTATTGTGTCAGGTGGAGGAGCACCGCTCTGCTGTATTAACAAACACCAACATTTGGATTCGTTTTCGGGACAGAGGACGGATTCAAGTTCGGAGCGGTTCTCACAACAGTTGTTCTAGTTCGGAGAGCCTGAGAAGCGGGTCTGACCTTGTTTTTAGTGGGCTTGGAAAGCCCAGGAGAGTGGGAAAGTTTATTTTATCTTCGGCTTTCTGGTAAGAAAAATATCTATTTTATTCATACCTTTCTGCACTAACACCATTATATTTGACTCGGTAACCTGTTCGGGTGTGTCCGACCCGGACCCTGTGGACTGACTGGGCTCCTTTAGCTCCTTCGGGGCTTAGATCGCCCACAGCTGATTGGCTTTCACTAAGTTTAATAGGGGGTGGCCTTCTGGTGACGTAAAGAGTCTGTAAACAAACAAAAAAGACCTGCAAATATTGTTCGTTTTTATATATAAAAAAAATGTTTTGTTTTTTTTGTCATCTTTCTCGGTTAGCTGGGTCGATAAGGGAGCAAAACTATATACATGGAAATAGAGAAACAGAGATTTCAGGAACTACAGTTAAAGAGTAATATTAGAGCATTTTCTCTGACTTTCTCCGTTGTTTGTAATACTTAGAAAAGAGGGAAAAACTAATATGCAATGATTTATGCATATGCGTAGAAAAGCTTTGCTTACAAGTATGAAACTAAGGCATTAGCAACATTTTGCAAAATAGGGGTGCAAAATGCCAAAGGGGTGAACTGACCCAGAGTCAGAGCAAAAATATTAGAGCACAGAATCCAAAGATTGTCTTTTAAGATGGTTTTAAGACATTCCTAATTTAGTATTAGTTATTAAGGTATAACAATAAGTTCACACCAGCAAGTGAGATGTATAAGAGAACAAGAAAAGACTTTAATAACTTTTTTTTCCCTGTTTTTACAATTATTGCAAACCGTGTTTTAAAGAACGTGTAGTTAGTGTAGGATGATGCAGTCTGGGTTTGAATCATTCATTTTCATATTTATCAAATACCAGAGTAAAATTTTACAATTAGTAAGCAAATATTGAAGAAAAGTTTTCACTGAATTCTACTTGAATCTTTCCTCATGTTGACAACCATGAATTCCCTTCAACCTGCTGTAATAAAGCTGAAGTGTTATAACAATAAATGAATAGCCAAAGTAAAAATAGACTTGTTTTTGTAGTAGTGATTAAGTCTGAGTAAAGGAACTTCTCCCAGTCCTGTGGAGCAGGGTGAGCCGTCTATGGCTAAGGTGGCGTTGGTATTTAGGATTGTTCTGCTTTGTTTAGATCGTGATGACGCTCTCTAGGTGTTATTAATCGTTTTGTTTATGTGAGTTTAGCTAGCTTTGCGAACAGTGACTCTCCCTCCAAGGAGAAGATGGATGTGTTTCTGATAGGGAGCCCTAATGCACGTGGCAACAAGTCTAATGGAAAAGACAAATTTTCCTTTTAGCTTATGGTCAAACCTTAACACAGAGGTTCTTATAAAATCTCAACACTATAATGTAACAATACCACATTCAGACACAGCAAGCACAGAAGTACTCTATACCGTGTTGCAATAAATCATAATCGCCATCTAAATGGGTTAATCCATTGACTTTTCTGCTGCTTATCCAGGTCAGGCCACATTAATAGAAAGCACTAAAAATGTGATATAAAATGATTAATACTGGCCTTCCAATGCCATTCATTCTGTTCCACCTTATTTTCACACCACTGAAACCAAGACAGGTGGACACTACAGTGTTTTCAACAAGAACTTTAACTTGTTTCACAAATACATGTCTAAAGGTTGAAAATCCCATTATGCTTTGGATGTAAACATGAGTATTTTCGTCAGTTTGCTAAAGCGGTGTTTTGAAGTCTCTCAAGCTTCTTCAGCTAAAGCTGTGAAAGTGAAGAAGATGCTATGTTCTGCACCTTTAGGTGAGGAGACATTTTAGGTCGAGTAACATAGTTTCAATTGTTGCAGTTTTCTCATATACCACAGTGTCATATTGTCAAAGAAACTGAAACTTCACCCAAGTTTAAATAAGACAAGAGACTGTGGCACACTTTGAAGGAGTTCAGGTTTCACATAAGAGAATATTGTTAAATTGGTTGTATGAGGCACATGTGTCAAAGTCGAGGCCTGTGGGCCAAATCCGGTCCGCCATAACTTTTTATGTGGCCCTCTATATTGTAAACTTAACACTAAGTGTGCTTAAATATCATGTTATCAATCAAATGAATGCAGTTTTGATCTGGTTTCTGCCTAATTATATCAATCAGTCCCTCCAGTTTCTTGATAATTATCATGGAAATTCATGCAAAATCCCCACACTTTTTGCCCTAATACATAATTGGGAGTTTATTGCAAATTTTTCTCAGAAATTGTCCATAACTTTCTTACTTGTACTAAACAGCTGCCTCAGTCTTAATTGATGAAAGATCCATGACCTATACAGCAAGTAATAAAAGTTGCATTTACTGTCATAAATAAGCTGAAATATCACAAATATTTCCAAATTAGTACCATAAACACTTTGATTTTTATTGGGAAAAAAATCACAAAAAGAAACATGAGACCTGGAGGGACTGAAAAGATGTTCAACAATAATATTTAATTTTAAGAATCCATTGATATTTTTAAAAGTTTAACAGGTTTTATTAATACATTCTGGTGCAACCGGCCATTTAAGAGGATTCATGATCTTGATTTGGCCCAAAACGAAAATGAGTTTGACACCCCTGGTGTATGGGCTCTAATGTTTAGAGCAGTGTTTCTCAACCCTGGTCCTCATGCTCCCCTGTCCTGCATGTTTTAGGTGTTTCCCTTCTGCCACACACCTGAATTGTATCTCTAGGTGATTAACAGGCTTCTGCAGTACTTGATGGTCATGCAATAATTTGAATCAGCTGTTCTGGAATAGAGGCACATCTAAAACATGCAGAGCAGGGGGGTGCTGAGGACCAGGGTTGAGAAACACTGGTTTAGAGGGTGGGTAATATCTGGCAGTGATGGCACAGGTCAGAGATCATCTGTGTCTTCTTTCTCCAGCTGTACAGCTGTAGAAAGAAGACACAGATGATCTCTGACCTGTGCCATCACTGCCAGATATGTGCCATCTCCAAAGGTTTAGAAATCCCTGGTGGCTGGCAGTAATGTTTCTGCAGAACTTTGCAGACCTGGTCCTTAACTGTACCAGTTTGGATTACGGTTTGTTAGAATACTGTCAGTGCACCAGTAGTAGAAATCTGTGTGTTAGTTTTCTAGAGTCTGTGCTGAGACTCCTCAGTCGCTGCATGTTCTCCTGTCCACAGTAGCCTGTGGTTCTCAGTGATTTCCTTAACCTTAGCAGCAGCTTGTTTTCCTGCCATCATGATTCTGTAGAAGGAATCATCACTACCTGACATGCAGCCAGAACTTGTGTTAACATGTACTAGTGTAATTATGATGTTTGATTTACATTTGGCTCTTCAATCAAAGTTGAAGCATACACAGCAGGGGGCATAGCTCATACCACTGGAGAGCTCTAGTGTATGGAAGATGGTAATGCCTGCCGTATGTCTGTCAAGAATCAAAATCCCAGTTGGATTGAAAAGCAGTTTCATGATGAGTGTCAATGGAATTATTGCATCAAAGAGCATCCATTCCTACAGGGCAGAGCAGTGTGCAAGGTGAAAGCTGTTTTATCATTTTTGGATCATTCTTGGCCTATAAGTGATCTTCAACATGTACAATGTGACGGATGGAGAGGAAAAGTGGACCTTGTGTGTTCACATTGGAGTGCAGTAGAAGAACAATTGCATTGTTTGTTTGTTTGTTTGTCCCTGGGATCATCATGGGTTTTATAAAGTATCCAATTCATTTTGTTATTGATATGTGATTATGTGCCTTTCCTCTGTCTCTTTTATCTGCTCACATGCACACTGCTGCACACTTATATAACCACAGCATTTAAGACTGGTGACAGTCTTCTTATGTTACACATAACAAAAACTAAGTAAGCAGACCAACACCTCTTAGAGAGGCTACAGAGTGAAAAGATGTTAAAAGCAGAACTTGCGCTACAATCTTTGCTTTACTTGTTGTCAACAATAAGGTTAGTTGAGTGATGTTCCTCTGTATTTGTTCCATTTGTATGACTTGAAACATTTGATCATTTTTGGCTTTAAAATCTGTTTATATACCGTTTTATATGAAATCTCAAACTGGCAAACAGACCTGGGTGTTGCACAAAATGGAAAATGTGTCTCCTCAACAATTTATTGTTTGTGTTTTTTTTTTCTGCTGTTTTATTCTGTGTTCATGTGAGGGATTCTAGGTTTATGAGGACAATTTAAACATATAAATAATTATATTTTTCCCAATGTCCCTGCAAACACATACAGCCCAATATTCTGATAATCTCTCTCGACAGTGTTAAAAATCTTACTCAACAACAATAATGGATGCAGGAGGAAATATTCATCTGTAAGAGGTGCACCGACTAATTTAAACTCTTCTGCAGCAACTAACAGGATTCCCCCCCACCCCCCAAGTATTGTCTTTAGTTGAGCTCCATCAGTTTTTCATCTCCCTGCTGAAGAAAGCATCAATCACTGTGATGCTGCCAATTTCTTTATTATTGTATTGTGCATTTTGGTCTTCAAGATGCTTTCTGTGCCATATTAATGGTCCAGTTACCCATGCTAACAACACCATACCAAGACCCTTCATTCAACATCTCTACACCCTACTGATGTGTGTTGTTGCTTATGTTGAGGAAGTGGAGACGGATGCCAAGGTAGCACCACAAAACACAGGCAGCAGCCACCTGACCGCCCTGGGGAAGCGCAGACTTATCTAATGCAGCTGGTTGACTGTCCAGTACCGTGACTGCAGCAGGGCGGAATGCTACTAGGTTTGGTACTGCTGTTGCACCTGGTCATACAAAAACACCAGGAAAGGATGGGTCGATGCATAACACTGATACTGTGGGTCACACTCTGTGTGCATGTCTGAAAGTGGCTTCTGTTCAGTCTTGTTCAGGCATTAATTGTTATGTCAGCCAGACCTGTTAGACAGCTCAGTAAGTGTTAAGGCTCACCACACCTTCATTCCTCTAGACTATAAGCAACCTTCCTCTGCCTCATCAGACTGTGATGAAGTTATTTCACAGTTTTCCTCTCAATACACTCAACTCAGTCTGAGCCCAGAGAGGCGATGATAAAACCTTTTCTCCTCCCGTATCAAACAAAAGCAGTTTCTTCTTCCTCTGACACTGTGTCTAAGTGTCAGAGGATCTCATTGTGTTGAGATCTGACTTTCCTTGAATAAATACATTTCCTAAGTAGTTGGATGAAAAAAGAGACTCATATGAGAGATAGGGAAACGGTTAGAAGCAAAAGCAATTTTTTTTTTGGTTTTTTTTTTTTTTTTTTTTAGTGTTTCCTTTCGTCCTCATATCAGCTGCTACAAAAATAAAAGTTCAGGCTCAACGTATGCTACGTTCCAGTTACTTCAGAATTTACAACTCAGTGCTAGGTGTGAGATCACACCCAAAGTGACATCATTCCAGGTAATGTAGTTAGAGAATTTGGTATTTCAGCAGTACACTGTTCATAACACCTATGAACATCCTTTTAAGTTTATTTACCAAAAGCGTAAATCAATTTGTGTTTAAAGTTGCAGACACGATATGTAACTTTTACAAGAGTGTCTTGTATTTGCAAATATATGTTTTCACCACAGTAAACATATATGGCTACTCCTGCTTCATGTTAGGAGCATATATAGTCCAGTTAAACTAGCCTTTTTTAAAATTACACAAATAAATGTGACAAAAAGTGACATGGTAAGATTAACAAATCATTGCTTGCATTGTGTAAGTGCCCAAAAAGCCATTCTGTCATTTAACAGAATATTGTCTGAATTGCTCGTCACTTATTGCTGCTGGTGGCTGATTTTTTTTCTTTGAGTGAAACAAAAATCTGCTGTAAAAACAAAAAACATTTCCCCATTAATTTGTTCTTTGATTCATTTTTCTACATTGTTAGGGATGCTTTCTATGGTCTCAGAAGCTTTGTTGATTTGAACAGGGTGTTCAGATCAACTACCCAAGCCCTACAATGAGTAAATTTATTATTCAACTGTATTGCTTTTGACCAAAAACACAAATGTGCATCTCACGTTTAACAAATTTTAATGATCAATCAAGAGTGTTGGTAAAACTATTCTGTGGACCAACAAAACAAAAGTAGGACTTTTTGAAAGATGTTAATTCCTTAACATCTAGAGTGTAACCAACACAGCAATAAAACATAGTGTGATGTTCTGGTGCTGCTTTTCAGCATTTAGTGGATGAGACCATTAATTCTGCGCTGTGGCAGAAGAATGCCTGTTCATTAGTGTGTGACCTTGAAATGAGGCTCACTTGGGTTATGCAGCCGAACACTGATCCAAAGCATGGATCAGGTTGCCTCTGAATGGCTCAAAGAAAAAAATTGTTGTAATAGCCTAGTCCAGGGGTGCTCAATACGTCGATAGTGGGAAGATTTTGAGTCAGTCTCAGCAGTAGACACACTGAACGCCACCAGGACGCTGAGACCAGCACTTCCTCTTCTGACAGGCTTATCAAAATATTCGATCCTAAACGTTTGTAGCTTCATTAAAGAATACTACTTAAAAAAAATCAACGAAACGTGTTAAAATGAATAATCTCAGTCATTATTGTTTCAACAAGGTGCTGCGCAATTCAGTGCGTTTCGGTTCCATTAACAAAAAAGGCGACTCAAAGACCGACTGACTAGCAGACTAGTTTAAATTAGCTACTTCAACCACCGCTGTGTTCATGAGAGGCTTAATAATCGAGAAATAAATATCAAGCCTGGAAACCTGATATGTAACGGATTGAATGTTATGTTTTTAACGTAATCTCTGCTCGGCTTGTGGGGCGCAGGTGGTTGCCACGGCAACGGGTGTGCTTAAACGAGAGAGAGGGAGTAAAAAGGCACGAGTAGTTTTGAGTTAATCACGTGTTCGGGTTGTTTTACCTTTGCTGTGGCGCATTACAACCGCTGTAGTTTCTGAACGTTTAATAAACAACAAACTTGGACAACCTCGTTCGTTTGTGAGTATTCACAGCAAACATCAAATAGGACAAATATATTTCATTAAGTTTTAACAAACAAATGGCTTCTACTGCGATGTGAAAGTAAATTAATTATATACCAACTTCAATAGATTTGCCTTTACTTTTACAGTGCTCTTTGGCTCCTCCTATCAGTCTGTAGTTTCTCATATTAAGGTCATCAAACCAAAGTTCAGATCTACCATAACTGACTGACATCTGCTGGCATCAGGTTTGCAAACAGCTTCTGATTGAGAAACCACCTCCTCCCAGTGTTAGAATCTCACTGAGGAAGAACTTGCATTAGGTTTTCCATCACTTCATTATTTCTGCTATAACTGATAAAATAAGTTAATATAGTTTAATTTACAATTTTTATGTCTTCATGTCATGAGATAGATCTCAGCCAGCTAGTGAAAGAAAAAGTAGATCTTGGTCCCAAAAAGTTTGGGCTCCCGTGACCTAGTCTAAGACCAAGTTTAAATCCAATTGATATGATGTTATATGACCTCAAACATGTTGGATAACACAGCATTGTGTAAAGAACAGTGAGTAAAAGATTCATGGATATTTATCGTACTGCTTGATTCCAGTATGAGGATGGAACAGTTAGGTTGGGTGTGTCAGTTTTTACATAAGTCCAGCTTTGTTTGGTAAAATGTCTTTGATCTGAAACATCTCAGTGTCACTGAATTGCATATCAATGCTTAGAGATACCAAGTTGAAGACAAAATCTTTCTCCTTCTTAAGCTGTCTTGTTTGCCCATCCTCCTTGTTTTGGCTGCTCAGGCATTCATCATGTTCCGATAGAGACCAGAACCTGCGGCAGCCAACATGCTGAGGCGTCTCGACAAAATCCGGTTTCGGAGCCAAAGACGAGACGAGTTCCTTGACCCGACCGAGTCACCCAACACATCGGACACAGAATGCAGCGACGACGTCGTGATGAAAACACGCTTCTTGCCCAAGGAGCAAGAAGAGCTGAGGGAACCTGAGTTAGAACAGCAGACGGAAGCCCAGGTGCAGGAACACAGGACAAAACTTTTGCCTTTGATCCAAAGATAAAACTCATGTTACATTGCTTATTTTGTGTTTGTTTGCCAAAGGCTGGTCCTGGATCATTTCTGGCAGGTGTCCAAGAAGAGCCAAAGACTGATTTGAATGAGGTGAAAGGACTTCTAGAAATCGCTTTGTTAGAAAAACACTTCTTACGTGAGTATATTGTGCCCTTTACTGAGCCATACAAAAGTACTGATATTCTGAGTTTTAAACAACAGAGTATTTTATTGGGATTTTTAAGGCACAATAATACAAAGTAGAGGTGTGCCGATCGATCGGTCACCGATCATAATCGGGCCGATTTTCGTGAAAAAGTGCAT